AAAAAAAAGACGTTTAAGTGCGCCTTATAGTCGTGAAAATACGGTAATAAAAAGTTCCTGATGATCCTGAAAGACGTGAACCAAGCAGAAAAAATGTCTGAAAGGATCTCAAACAGTAAAAACTTCACCCGTGGAAAAATATTAAATGATTTTTTTCATTAAAAAAATAAAAATAAAAACGTGCTTATCAAGCATTTACGCTTCCTTCCCATTACAGACAGTGAGATAGAGGAAAGCTTCCTGATCATTTTAGCTCAGGTCTATTTTAAATGCAACAATAATCCTAGCCAATTTAAAGCACATTTTAATATTACTAGATTAGTTTCTACTCAGAATCTGACTAAAGACCTAAAATCCTGAAGGGAATTTAACTGTAAGCTGGGAATCCCTATAAAAAAAAACATGGAAACGGGAAAACTACATTCAACAGGTTCAACACTTACCTCCATTTTTCTTCCTTTACTGGTAAATTGCGAAAGAAAAGAAAACTTAAAGAAAGAACAAATCAAATGAAGCCAAAGAATAATCAGCTCTAATAAGCAATGAAATGAACCAAGATCATTTGGAGTAAACTCTTCAATAAAATTCAAATATCCTCCATCTATATACTAGCTCAGATTTTAATGATCGTCAGATCGACATGAATCCAAGTCGACATGGATCCTCTGAGTGAACTTTCCTGCAGATCTTTCCTTTGGAGTTTCTGCAGGATCTTTGATTAACAAACTTTCCTGGTTGAGGATTTATTAGAATGTCTTCCCACACATCTGATTCCTTTATATTGAATATATATATAGTTGAATTTATGCTCACTGGAGTATATCTAAAATAAAATCTACCCACCTCTGCTGAAAGATAAGCTTGCACTGGAAAAAAATCCAAATCTAGATAAGTCATTTATTCTTAAAATAAGTGCATTTTTTCTTGGATTGAGGAAGTAAAAGAGACATTTTGCCTATGGAACGAGGACATTTACACTTTAAATAAGAAAACACAATTGAATTGTTTTATTTCAAGTGCACTTTATCTCATTATCTTATTCTAAGAATAAAAATACTCCTTCCATTGGCAAACTATCTCATTTACCTACTGAAATTAAGGGTAAATACATTTAATTTAAGAAATTTTTGCTCATTTTTTGATCGTTTTTCCAGTGTGTGAGCTATATCCTGAACAATTCATATCTTTCTCCTGACCATTCAGGGATTTTTTTTCTCTTTACAAACTTTATTTGTTGTTAAACTGCATCAAACAGGGATTAAAGCAAAAAATTTAAATCCTGAGCCTGAACTTTTTCGAAACAGGCAACAAAATCATTGTGTGAGTATTTTCCAGCCATGCCAGGGGGCTGTGGGGGCATAGGATCAGAGATTAAACGAATAATTGAAGACTAAATTAGACTTTTGAAAATCCAATACCAAAAACAGCCAGATGGTAAAAGTGCGTCTATATCTACGACTTGCATGAACCACATTTCGTTTGCTATTCAGTTTTGCTGCTAAGCGTTGTGTTCGGCGAGGAAAGCATAAACTCTCAAACACGGTCAGTTACTGAAGCCGCTACATCAGCTGTTGCTGTAGCTCCTGGCTAACGTGTAGTGTGCGCGACCGCAGGGACAGCGCTTAGATGACCAGGGTCTTAGTCGTGTCTGCGTAGCACCTTTTTGCGGCTGGATGCGTAAATAGTTTCTGGAGCCCAGCGTACAGAAGCAAGCCTGGTTGACCTAACTTCCTGCACCAGCTGCTAAATGGCTTAGCCTGGGTGCCATTCTGAACTTAGTCCCGCCCACAACGTTTGAGGTCGGGAAGTTCGGTCTGGCATTGCT